CCCCAGCAGTCGGCGAACGGGGAGCCGAATTCAGATCCTGCCACAGAAAACTTCCTTGCGCTTTGAGTCCCGTCCTGTGGTGAAAACCGTGCAAAACGCTCGGGGAAGCTCAGGCGGCCCCCAAAGCCCTCCTCCTCCTCTCCCCCCATTATGCTGTTTCCGAAGGATTTCCACAGGGCACCACGTACGTGGGGCTTCAGCATTTATCTCGAAGAAACAGTCGTGGCTTTCACATAAAGTGTGCTGGCGCTTTACTAGCTGAATGGCACCTTAGCTCCACTTTTCCTTAGAAGGAAGTGATAAAATAGCTAATTTATACTGCCCCTTAATTACACAATGCAAAGTCACTGTGTTTTTTCCTGTTCTGTAGGATGGTGAAGCATGAAAGCTGACTATTGTCGGGTACGTGACGCTGTTCCCCTATTTTTCCTGCTCGTGCAGGAAAATGGAGAGAGTCCTTACTAGAAGTGTTTACAGAGCAGGAACACCGAAACTGCAGGGCAAACTGCCCAGCCTGGAACACGAGCAGGACACGAGCAGCACAGCTTCTGTGGTCTCCCAAATAAAATAAAATGCCGGTTTCTACTGATCACAACTGCCAACAGTTCTTCACCAAACTACATCCAAGTGAGATCACCTCTAGCAGCACGCAGGGGGCGAGATCAGCCCGGCCCAGCCGGCGAGGTACCCGTCTCGGGGGTCCAGCCCCACCTCATGCCGCCGCCCAGGCCTGGGGGTGATGGACACGGGTAGGAGCAGCGATGCCTGCGGCATGGCAGCTGCAGCAGGGCACGCAGGACTCGGATCACCGCTCCCATGCTCCTTCAAAGGTCATAAATCGTTATTGCAAAGGTGCAGGAAAAAAACTGCCTCGCCGCTTGAAACAGCCTATGCCAGGGAGGCGAAATGGAGCGGAGCCAAAGCAGAGCTAAGAGTGATTGAAGGAAACAGAAGCTGGGAAGGAGAGGAAAAAAACAAAAAAGCAGCTTGTACATGGTTATTAAGCACTTACAATGTTCTCATGCAACTTAGATAAGCCAACTGGAATTAAGCATTACAGCAGGCATCAGCCCTGGCGCTGTGCTCTGCCTACAAGCACACGGGGAGGCTGGGAGCACTCAGAAGCAGGGCTGACTGGAAACAAGTGCATGTGGGGAGGAGGAGGAAGAGATGGGAAGGGCTGAAGGCTGCTGGCGATACGAGCACACAGCTGCCTCCCTTCGTCTAAAGGTCAGGGCAATTGAAGTCAGAAGACTGACTTTTGGCAAGGCTCACCTGTGTGAGCAGATTTAATCATTCACGCACAGGAGAGGGAGACTCTCGGGCTCCTTGGGCAGCAAAGGAGTAAGAAAAGCATCGGGGGGGCGAGCACAGCTCAGATTCCTTGCGCGCGACGAGCTGCTGTTCCTCTGCGTGCAGGAGGCCAGTCCTCCTTCCGGCACCCCCGATTCAGCAGCACCCAAAGGGGGTCCTAAAAGCAGCACTGACATCTCCCTGCAAGCAATCCACTTGTTTGTTTTTCAGTGCGTTACCTTTTAGTAGGGATCAGTTCGTAACCTGCGCTCTGCCAGCCCGTTGTTAGAAACCGGTGCTGCCGATACCCCCTCTCACCTCTCCGGACAGACAAGGGACTTCGCTGCCGTTTCTGAGAATCAACTTTTATTCCCCAGGTAGACAGCAGTGACAGATAAAGTTCTCTTTATTACAGACCTGCAAAAGGAGATCCATAAAATATTTCTATTTTCTCTTACAAAATTATGCCAGGAGCCCACGGATTTGTGGAGGAGTTGTACCTGTCCCAGCAACACGAGGACAGAGGGACCAAGGAACAGGTTTCACAGACAAGGCAGAGGCATTCTCAACTCTAAACAAACCCACCCAGGGCAGGTATGTAGCCACATCTTGCAGGGAGCAGCTGCCCTCTGCTCTGGGCTATCAGATGCTAGGCAAAGAGAAAAACATTCCTCCCCGTAACTCGGCAGCAGCAGCGGCGGTGGCTCCGCACGTCAGCTCTTCGCTGATAAACACCGGCTCCTAATTCCAGCCGCATTCCCCGTTTTGAGAATAAGCAGCCCCGCTCCTCAGCGCCCTTTACAGCTACTGCTGCTGGAGAGAAGGGGGGTGGGAGGGAAAGGCTACAACACCGTCCATCTCCTAAAAACCCCAAACTAGCAGAAAACCCCGGGCTGTGCAAGGCAGGCAGTTCACGTGCCCCTCTGCTCTCCCGAGGAAGGAATGCACAAGGTGGACGTGACCAGAGGCAGAGGCACAGCCACCCTTTTACTTCAGGCTCCGATGAGTTTCTTGAGGAATGCCTCCAGCTGATCCTCGTCCTTTATCCCCACAAACTTGTCCACGACGTCTCCGTTCTTCATAGCCAGCACGGTTGGCACTGCTGACACCTGGGGGCAAGAGAAACGGGGAGACACGGGTGAGCACAGGCTGTGGGGAGCCCAGCTGCACCCCGGCCCCCAACGGAGCTCTGCGGAAGCAGACGTGTCTACA